AAGCTTCAGACTGTCGCTGGAAAAATCCGCAACCCTAATTCGAATTCTGCAGGTTGTTGAACCAGAGAAATCAAAGGTTTGATCCTTCGTTTTTTTTTTAATTCTCTTACGAAACAGGTTTTGTAGAATGTCATTTCCAGTATTTTTTCCATCTTTCTTACCGCCGAATCTCTCTGTTTTCTAATTTAATCGCCAGTTTCTCGCTTGATTCTTTCTCCTAATTTTTTCCGGTTTGTTTTCTCTTCATCTAATTTGTTATTCCTCTTGCTTGGTGTGCAAGTATAGTGTTTTTTTTTTTTTTTTTTTTTTTTTTTTTTTTTTTTTTTTTTTTTTTTTTTTTTTTTTTTTTTTTTTTTTTTTTTTTTTTTTTTTTTTTTTTTTTTTTTTTTTTTTTTTTTTTTTTTTTTTTTTTTTTTTTTTTTTTTTTTTTTTTTTTTTTTTTTTTTTTTTTTTTTTTTTTTTTTTTTTTTTTTTTTTTTTTTTTTTTTTTTTTTTTTTTTTTTTTTTTTTTTTTTTTTTTTTTTTTTTTTTTTTTTTTTTTTTTTTTTTTTTTTTTTTTTTTTTTTTTTTTTTTTTTTTTTTTTTTTTGTCTCGATAGTTGTTAGAACTTCATTTCTTTTGAATAATCTGGATATAGATGGGGATCCTTTTCTTTTTTTAGGAATTGTGTTCTTTGTTAACGTTCTGATTTGGGATGTGAACGTAGAAATATTAATGGAGAACGAGATTAACATTGTCGATGGCGGGGCGTCGGGGGACGATCCGACCACGGAGGATTTTTATGATTTTGATCAGCGGGAGAACGATGCAAAGGTCGCGGAGCTGAACCAGAGAATTGAGGTTTTGGAGCGTGAAAAGAAAAAATTGGTTGACGAAAATGAAGAATTCAAAGATAAGGTTAAAAAAGTTTCAGTGGAGATTGAAGGATTGAAGAGTGAAGAGGGGTCGCTGAAAGAACAACTGAATGAAATGGAGAAACAACTTGAACGTTCTGAAGAGGGAAATAAGGTGTTAGAATCAGTTGCAGCGAGAGCATTGGAGCTTGAGACTGAGGTCGCTAGGCTACAGCATGATTTGATATCTGCAATGAATGGAGCCGAAGAGGCAAATACTGAAGTCGTCGAGTTGAGGAAAAATTTGGGGGAAAAGGGAGAGAAGGTTGAAGCTATGGAGGAACAGTTGGAAGCCCTGAAGAAAACAAAGGTGGAGAGTGAAAAGAAAGTCAGAGAATTGGAGAGGAAAGTTGGGGTGTTGGAGGTCAAGGAGATAGAGGAGAAGAGTAAAAAAGTTCGAGTGGAGGAGGAAATGAGAGACAAAGTCGAGGCGAGGGAGAGGGAAATCACCAGTCTTAAGACAGTTGTTAAGGATTTGGAATCGATGATAACGAAGAACGAGCTGGAGTTAGATAATTGGATCAAGGAGAAACTTAACGTCGAAAAGTTGTTGAAAGAGTCAGAAGCGAAAACGAAAACGATTGAGTTGAATATGGCTCAGTTGCAGAAGGAAGTAGAGGAAGCACACAAAGTCATTGGTGGATTAAAGGAGAAAGCATTGAATGCTTTGAATGGAACTGCAGAGGAACTCAAGTCGGCTTTCGAAGGCGCGGAGAAGGAGTTGAACTCGAACTGGCCTGTAATTGCAGGTTCGACTGGAGTCGTTGCTGCCATAGCTGCACTAGCCTTTGCTTTGTATGGAAGGCAAAGATAAATCGTGATGCTACAAAGGCAGATAGTTGAGGGTGGAGGCTTAACTCAGAATATAGCCAAAAGGGTAAGGTTCATGAACTGCATATCTGCTTCAGTTTTGTTAGATATGTTTGTTTATTTGGTGGTTTTTTCCAAGCCAATAAGTACTGGTTGGCGCTAAATTTTTGCTTCAAATGTTCTTCTGAAGCCAAATCTTGTTAGTTAACCAATTTAGTTCAATCCCACTGTTATAGATGATTAACCAGACAAGTCTTTGAGCTATACTTGTTTTTTTTAGCTTGGTTTCTTGCATTTCTGAGTTGTTTTCAATGCATTCTTGCATGATATGCCAAAATTTGGCAAATTTTGAAGTGCCCCTTTTTGAGTCTCCACTGCCTCCACCCTCTCAATTGATTATGTTATAAATGCACCAATAAACACAGCAACAGCAGCAGATGAAACCATGAGAAGCAAGCAAGCTTCTGCTCTGCTCGCTCTCCTTCTCACTTTGGTTGCTGGGCTTCTTTCTCACAGCCTGGTCATCCCTTTATTCTCCATACCCATTCATTCCTGACCTGAAAAGCTATTACTCTCCCAACAGGTTTCACATTCTTTGAAGTATCAGCCTAGATTGTCATAGTAGTGACTAGTAGGCTTACAACATTGCATTGCAGGTTCATATGGCAGCCCTATACCACCATCACACGGCTATGGAGGAACACCACCACATTATCCCACACCAAACCCGGCACCGTTGAAGCCTATGTTTGGTGGTGGTGGATACAACAATCCTCCATCTTCTAGAAGAAGTAGCCCACCGACCACCCTTGTTGATTTAGGCCGTCCAAGCTTTCCCACTAGTATATATTGTCCTTTTTGGTCTGTTATCACGGTTTTAAAACACGTTTACTAGGGAGAAGTTTCCACACTTTCATTAGAATGCTTTGCTCACTTTTTCAACTGACATGGGATCTCACAATCCACCTCTTACTCGAGACCCAGCGACCTCGCTAGCACTCGTTCTCCTCTCCAATTGATGTGGGATCTCACAATCCACCCCTGTTGGGGCTAGTGTTCTTGCTAGCCCTCGTTCTCCTCTCCAATTGATGTGGGATATCACAATCCACACTCTTTGGAGCCAGCGTTCTCGCTGACACTTGTTCCTCTCTCCAATCGATGTGAGATCTCACAATTCACCCTTTTTGGGGCACAGCGTCCTTGTTGGCACACCCCTCGATATTGTCCTCTTCGGGCTTTTCTTTTCGAGCTTTTCCTCGAGGTTTTTAAAACACATATGTTAGGAAGAAGTTTCCACAACTTTATAAAGAATGGTTTGTTATCTTCTCTAATCGATATGGAATCTCATAAAATCTCAACTTGCTCCGGGCGCTTTCAAACACAAGGATCGATGGTTTTGGAGACCTTTCAAGAGAAGGCACTACTATGTACCTCAACTCTCTTAAAAAAAAAGGAAGAAGTACACGTTGAAATGAAGAAAAAGTTGTGGATTCAGTAGCCACGTAATCCCCAAACCCCAAATCTAATGAATGTCCACGTGGTCTCCATTAATTGGGCATTTATGAAATCTAGGGCAAGCAGCAGCAACGGCATTCCATGTTAACCTTAAATTACGCTATATTGTGGTGGGAACCCGACACGGCAATTGGTGTCGTTTAAAACAGAATAAATAAATAAATATTTTATTTATTAAATTCTTTAACTTACTTTCTTACCAATTAAATCTCACCGACACCATCTCAATGTCCCACAACCTCCCCCTTCCGTGATTTTAGGACTAATTTTACCCCCTCCTTTTTACTGTTTCTTTCATTCACCTTAAATATCTTTTTTACCAAAATTACAAATCTTCTATTAATTTACAAAAATAAAAATTTTATATTCCATGCAATATAAATAAGAATGCTTCTTCAATATTAATCTATGACCCATCACATGAAAAAAAAAATTATAAATATTTGAAAATAAAAAAGTCAAATAAGATTAATTAAATATAAACAACAATTAAAAGATAGGGACGAAGAAATTTGAAAATGACCAAAAAAAAAAAAAAAAAAAAGTCGTATTTATAAAAGATTCGTAGTAAAAATTTGCATGCATGATAGCAACGGCTGCTCCCATTTCCATGTATATCGATCAATGCCATTCTTTTGACTTATAAATTAAGAAACTAATCAATTTTTTTTAATTAATAAAAACAAAGTAATTAAATGGACCTCCTCATTAAACCAACTTCCAAACACTTTTTTTTAAAACAAGTTTGTTTATATTTTTAATCCCCCATTTCTATTTTCTTTTTGCAAACCAAATATAAATATATAAATGTAACACTCATTTTAATTTGGTAATAAACTTTAAAATTACTCATTTTTTTAATCCATTTCTAAAACTAAAATTTTCATTAAAAAAAAATTAATAATGGAAAATAAACCTAAGATTTCCTTGTATTGATTCTTATGATTAGGGTTTCAAATTTGTCACGGTGTATTTATATAAAATAGTTTAATCATTTGTCTAATCATATTTGACATATTTTTTAATTCAAAATCAAATAAGATTGTAGCATGCAACGATTTGGAAAAAAATATATATACCTAAGCTAGGACGTTTCAGTTGTATCACTACTTTAAATTCATTTATTTTCTTCTTAATTTAGTATAAATCTTACTTAAAACACAGCTATAAATATAATATTTCATAAGTTCAAATCTTTTTACCTTATACTAAAAAAAATTAAAAATATAGACTTTTTTTTTTTTTTATCGATTTTGTAATATATGAATATAATATTTTTTATTTGAAGTTTAGATGGTAACCTTTATTTAAAATTTAGAAATAATTTATTTATGAGGGGAAGAAATTGAATTTTGTACCTAAATTATATTATTTATTTTTGGTATTAATTGAAAAATTGAAATAATCAAACAAGGAATCCTTTGGCTCCGGCGTTATAGGCAAGCGTAATGGAGTGGCTAAAGGAGAGAGAAACACAGTGTGTCGGTGGCAAATGGACACCCAATGGCAGATCCGTAAATAATAGTTAAAAACAAGGGTAATATTTCAAAGTTCTCCTTATTTCTGGACTCCATTCTTTTTCCTTGATACTTTTACCAAGGTTAAATTATTAAAAATATTTATAAATTAGATTTAAAAAAAACAAATTATTGGGATTTAGGGTATTTTGAGATTTAAAATTATTCCTTTTATATTTCCCAAAAGCATAACGTGTACAGTACTCATAAATAAATAAATAAAATAAAATAAAATATTAAAAAAAAAAAAAAAAAAAAAAAAAAAAAAAGACATAAAAGGGCAGTTGGGCATAGCTGGTGAGTTCGGCAGAGTGCGAACCCGTGAGTCGCTCTAAAAAAAAAGGCCTGAGTCGTTGCTCCACTTCCATCTTCTTCTCGCCTTGAATGGATTCCCCACCACGATGAACTTCTATATCTCCACCACCGGCATTAAGAAGCTCACGATTTCCAACTCCGCCGCTCTCAAGCCGCCGACGCCGCCTCCTCCGCCGTCCACAGCGCCTAATCGTAGAATCTACACTCGCTCAATCTTGCCTCTCCTCCTCACTCTCGCAATTGTTCTCCCGTTCTGTTTCCTTCGGATCGCCTTTTTCGTCCTCGAATCCGCCGCCGCGTGTTCCTCCTCCATCGGTAACTTCCCCCCCCTTCCTCCGATTAAATTACTACTTTATCCCTTAACTGTTTATCCTTTTGCAGACTGCTCTGGATGGACGCTTTTCAGCGGAAATGACGACGCATCTTCGGTTAGTTCTCTCCCTCTTTTCCATCTTAATTTCGAATATACCCCTAAGCTCACACTCCGCTTCTTTTTTTTTTTATTATTATTATTTTTTTGATTTCCACATTTTACGTTTCTCCAGTCTTCATACTCTTTCCTATAAACTGACAAATGCATTTATAGTACCATGAACTTGAATGCATCTTCTACATATGGCAATTCTTTTTTTTTTTTTTTTTATTTAAATAATTTTAGATAACCATTTTAATCTTAAACTACTATATTAAATTCGATTTTGTTATAATTGTATACATTTTAAAAAAAAAATTTTTTTACTCGAAAATTCCCCCAATATTGCATATTGAGTTTAAACATCGTTGTTGTATGGTTGTAAATGTTGTCGACTAGCCATTTTTATTAAGATCAATCGATCCAAACGTAGAAATAGTACTGATTAATAGTAAATTGCTTTCAATTTACTCAATTTCATTTTTTTTTTTTTTTGTGATTAGAAAAATGGAAATGAATTGTTGTTCCATTAAGCAGTAGGCAGCTTTTGGGATATGTGGCTACTACCTAGCAATCATTTGATTTTGGTCCACTTGAGCTTGGAAAAATAAATAATATTGTCTTCTATTTCAATATCTTTCAACCCCACGTCGCTTTGATTGTGATGCCTCAATCAGTGTTCAAGAAAAATTATCCCTTCACAACGGAGAAAATGATTATGTTTACCGAATGGGTCGTAGACGTGACCGTCCAAGCTGCTAATAGATATTATTTATTTTGGCCTGTTATGTATAGTTATTAGCTTCACGATTTGGAGAAGTTCACTCCCTTATAAAGAATGTTTCGTTCTCATAATCCATTCCCTTTAGGGCCCAGCGGCCTTACTGGCAATCGATGTGGGACTCTCCAATGCGTCATTTCTAGTACACTGCTTCATGTCCATTCCCTTTGGGGCCTAGCCTCCTTGCTGTATATTGCTTGGTGTTTGGTTTTGATATCATTTGTAACCGTTCAAGCTAAGCCCCTTTTCCTTTCGGACTTGGTACCAACTCTGTATTTTGGTTTTGTTCTTGCTGCGATTACGAATGACAGAGACTGAGCGAGGAATTCTTAAGATTAATGGTGGATTCAAAGGAAAGTGGGTCTGTGGGGAGTGGCGATGGAGATGGAGTGGGATCCTTCAACGAGCTTGTCAAAGACATGATTTCTAAACCACAGGACATGAGGGCCTTCGCATTCAAGACTAAAGCTATGGTAATCCTCATATCATTCTGTTCCCTTTAGTCAAACACAGGCCCTTCATTTTCTTATTCACATCTTCCATGGCAGCTTCAAGCTATGGAACAAAAGCTCAAATCTGCCAGAAAACGTGAATCTGTGTATTGGCATTTAGCTTCACATGGCATTCCAAAGGGCCTTCATTGTCTCTCTCTCAAACTAGCCGAAGAGTACGCTGTTAACGCCAAAGCTCGAGCTCGTTTGCCACAGCCTGAATATGTTTCTCGCCTTACCGACCCTTTCTTTCGTCACGTCGTTCTCTTGACCGATAACATCCTCGCCGCTTCTGTTGTTGTCTCGTCCACCGTTCGGAACTCGGCCGACCCTCAAAAGCTGGTCTTTCACATTGTCACTGACAAGAAAACATACACCCCAATGCACGCCTGGTTTGCAACCAATTCAGTTCATGATTCTGTGGTGGTTGAAGTTAAGGGACTGCACCAATTCGACTGGTCCGAGGATGTCAACAGCAGAGTTCACGATATGTTCGAGATTCATCGCTCGATCTGGAAGCGTTACTATAATGATTTCAAAGAAGCTAACTTCGGGTTTGATGGGGAAGATCAAACACAATTAGATGTTCTTACCCCCACCAGTGTCTCCCTCTTGAATCACCTCCGCATTTATCTTCCCGAGGTAAGCACTTAGATAGTCATTCCAAATAGGCACGACCTATTACTGAACTTTGTGTGCATATGATTTGTTCACCCCTTGATTTAAAGCTACAAATGTGTCTCATTCAGCTGTTTCCAGATCTGAAGAAGGTCGTGTTCTTGGACGATGACATTGTCGTGCAACATGATATGTCCTCTTTATGGGACATGGACCTTGGTGGCAATGTTGTTGGCGCTGTCCTTGATTCTCCCTGTGGCGATGGTTGTTGTCCAGGAAGAACATACAGCCACTACCTGAACTTCTCCCATCCTTTGATATCATCAAACTTCGATCCCGACCGCTGTGCGTGGCTCCACGGCATGAACATTTTCGATCTCGAAGGGTGGAGAAAGATGAACATCACATCCAAATATCACCAGTGGCTCAAACATGTTAGTTCCCATTCTTGTAATGCCAAATGAAATAGAATAATTACAGCTCACCCTTGACAAACACTGCTATTATTTTACAGAATCTCAACTCTGGATTGTCATTGTGGCTTCCAGGGGAACTGGCTCCATCCTTGATGGCTTTTGAGGATCATATGTATCCCATTGATTCATCATGGCATGTGGCTGGATTAGGTGAAAGACCCTTAAAGATAATAAGCAAGGAGATCCTCCAAGACGCTGCAGTCGTTCATTTCAGCGGTCCAGCCAAGCCGTGGCTCGAGATCGGGTCACCAGAGGTACGAAACATATGGCATAAACATGTAAATTTCTCAAATAAGTTTATTAGAAGATGCAGAATAATGTAGTGAGGAGAAGGAAGTTGCCCTAGTTTAGAACTAAAACTATTCATTTATGTGGTCTGAGATAAGAGGGAAGAAGGCTTAGCCCGCCTTCAGCCTCTTCGGATTAATCTCGACAAAAATATGATAGCAATAGATTCAGAGTTTTAGAGGATATATGTTGTATATTATTTTTTGACTTCGTATGAGCGAAAGATTAAGATAAGGTTATTCAATGACAAACATACAAGATTAGATATCTTAATGAAACTCTACATAATATCGAGTCGATTTAGAACGATTTTTTCTTTTTTAAGTACTTAGAAAGAGAAAATCATTTCGATCGGATCTTGTTCTTGTTTGTTCTTCGTGTTTTGATGTGAAAGGCATCTAATTGCGCACTATAAGTAATTGGGAAACAACCTTACAAATTTTGTTGTTATTGTTGTTTGGTTGGAGTGTTGAAGACCTATTGGAATGAGAGCTTTTTGGGTATTGGCAAAGTGAAAAGGACCCACCGTTCATGGTGTTCTTTTGGAAGAGAGAAAGTGGGGGGATGGTGTTGAGTAAGATTTTGAATTACTGTATGCACCAAAGTTTGATTAGACAACTCATATGTCGTAGGATCGTGTGGTTTTCTCGTAAGATTAATCGAGAATTCAGGTGCATTGAATTCTTATAAGCAATTTAATCTTAAAATCTAAATGGGTTAATCAAAAGTTGTCGTAATACCTTAATTTTAAACCGTTACAATTACAATCTTTTCTAGTTGAACAGTGATTTATTAGGATAAAACCGACATTAAATAGAATAATCCTGATGTCACATCACCATTCTATAAATGACGTTGAAGATAACAAAGGAATAAAATAAAACCATATTCTAAACTTTAGTGTTACATTTAGAAAATATCAAAATAACTTGGATGCTTATATAGTATAGTCTCATGTCTCTTATATTATGAATATCTTGATTGCTCTAACTACCTCTATGAATCGAGGAGTCGTATGGATGTGATAACTAAGAAAAGCTTAAAGGAAATGAAAATTACTACCTATACAAACAAGATCTACATTCCGTTTCAGTGACTCAATCATAAGGATTTGATGATTAAGCATGCTTTACTTAATCAATTCTATGTTAGGCGACTTCCTAAAAGTAACACGGCCGTGTCGCAGAAGATTTAAGAGGAATCTCGAGGTCATTCGTGCTGAATCCAAATTCCAAATTCTAATTTAAATTCTGGGCACGAGTCATTACAATATTTCACAATACATCACTAAATTCATAATTTGGGTCGAGCATATTACAAATTCGAACCCCATCATATCCCTACAACGACACCAACAAATCATAACCCGAAACGAATAAATATCACAAATACAAAAAAAGTTTTATAATATATATATAAAGGAGTCTATGTTGAGGGTTTTGATTGTAGCATGAAGCATAAGAACACTACACAAAAATAAATACCATGAGATTATCTCAGCCAGAAGCAGAGAGCTTCAAAAGGCAGTTATTATTTGACATCCTCGGTGGTTGGTTGGTTGCAGATTCAGAATAATAATAATAACAATAATAACAACAAGATTTTTGTTTTTGTTTTTGTTTTTTTTTTGGTTTGGTTTGGTTTGGAGAGTTATACACTTAAACGAGCTTAAACGAGCTGAAGGGCAGTGAGATGGTCTTGATGGGCGTAATGGGTGTCCGAATCCATAAGCCCCACGCCGCCATAGCTTCTGTTCTCCTCGTACTGCCCTCCTCCCACTGTCTCATATGTTCCCCTTTGCATCATGTTCGTTTGTTGCTGTTGTTGCTGTTGTGGTATTCTTTCGTGTTCAGCAATCTATTAAAACCGAACTAAATTTACGTGAATGATGTTATAAATAATGTTACGTATCAACATAATCGAAATAAATTGAGTATTTTCTTTTCGAGGGATTTGTGTTATCGAGGAGAAAAGGTGAAGAATTTGACCTGTGCTCGCAGATAGTTGTTGTGATTCTGAAGCTCCATTTCCTACACCGAGAAAAAGTCAACGTTTTTTTTAAGTATCTGAACAATCATTCCAAATAGTCTCGTATATATTGTGTGTTATATACGTACCCTTTTTTGCATGAATTCCATCTCTGCACACAAGGTTTCGTTCTACACACAATCAAAACGGTCAATTTTGAACTCGAATAGATTTTAAATCACTATTGAACTAAAACGCATAAATATATACAATTTTAACACGAAACGTGGAAAGTTAGAACATGGGTCGTAGCAAAAACAACATTACGGGATTCGAACACAAAGACTTCCTTACGCTCGATTGTAATGAATTTAATCTAATTATATCAATACGTCGAAGAGATCGAGTAAAAGGGGAGACCTTTTTAGCCCTAACTTTGCTGATTCCTCTCTCCAATCTGCCCTCCAAGCTTTTCAGGTCCTTTAAAGACAATGAGCTGAGTGCTTCACCAAGAATATGCCTGAGCAAGATGAAATTAACACTGTAAATTCATACAAAAGTTACTTTTTTTTTGTGTTTTTCGGAACCGAACCTGTTCGAGTTTTGAATCTCCCGGATCTGTCTCTTCAGCTTCGATGCTTCTTGCTGGTAAAACTGTAAAAAAAAAATTCATATTTAATTGTTCATCTGTGTTTTTAACTTTTTTGTTCCTTAAAAAAAAAAAAAAAAACATGTAATTACCTGTACATTAGCTTCTGCCACTGATAATCCAGAATTGGAAGAGTCAGCAAATGCTTTCTTGTACCTTTCAATGGTTCCTCTAACACTGTAAAAATTGTACTCAATTTTTAACCGTTCATTCACAAATATATTACCCACATATTTAATAATAAACTAAAAACATTATGTTAAATATAATTATATAAATACTTTAATATTATATAATATTATATACAGATAAAAGAAAGAGAATCACACCTAATAAAACCGACACGAGGGATTCCAAGAACATGGGTGGTGGCATGTGATACCTTAATTTCCTCGACCATGATTGCAGTGTGAACAAACATCCCACATTATTTTATATTTCTTTTCATTTTTCTATTACCCTAATCCCTAATCTCCATTTTCCCTCGAAACCCTAAATTCTAAATCCTCCACGTTCAAAACCCTAATTTCTACTTCAATCACTTCAATTCTCGGACAAATCTATGCCCTAAAACACGATTTTCTTACATTTAAGCTTCCTAGAAACTCGTAAACCGTAAACTTCAAGCTTAATATGTGTAACAGCCGAATCTCACTGTTAGTAGATATTGTACATTTTAGCCCGTTCTGTATTGACGTAAGCCTCACAATTTTAAAATGCGAGATAAATTCTACCACCGAGGTGAGATCTAACAAAATAAAAAAAAGGATTTTAAGCTATTTGTTTGCATCAATGAGAGGCATCATAAATGGGTCTGATGGGTTTGAAAATGATTAAAAGGAGAGGGAAAAAAGGGTCTAAATTAGTGATAAGGGGGAGAGGATCGAAGTTTCATAGAAATAGAATGATTCTCTCTTGGATTGCAAAAGAAAATGAATTACACACACTTTCCCTTCCACTCTCCCAAACCTAAAATCAATAATATTTCAAATGGGATTTTTCAAATTTCCCCAAAATAATAATAATAATAATAATGAAAATACAATAATTTCTTGTCGGATTTGATTAATATGAATATCAGTAGTGAGTTGACTGAAGCTAAATTGGTATAGCGAGAGAGAGAGAGAGAGATTGAAAGGCATGAAATATGAAAATATAAAGACGAGGAAGCTATTTACCAACTTTTTCTATTTCTATGCTACAAATTAAAGTTTGAGAGGGCAGAATGGTCCTTCCACATTGCAAGAAAATGGTATTAATATTATTCATTTAATTATTGTACAACTCACAAAAAATACTATTTTCCATCTTTTTAATTATTCTAATTACTATTCATCCATTCTCATTTTTTTTTTTTAATTTTTAAAATTTTTGGTCATAATTTGATCATTTGTGTGGGAAATTCATTAATTTATACTCTAAATAAGAAATTAATTATGTTTTGTATTAAACCCTAAAAATTCAAAACAAATATCATATAAAAAGAAAAATTGAGTTGATTATCAAGAAAAAAGTAACGAGATAATAAATTGAATTGTAGCAATTCTCTTAAGATCGGAGACTAAAATAATAAATTGAAAGCTTAGAAAAACAAATTAAGAAGAAAAACAAAAACCCAGATAAAATCAAACGCTATCTAACAAACCCATTTGAAAAAAATCAGATTTTTCCAAGCAAAGTTGAGCAAGAACATTAAAAGTAATGAAAAAAGGGTGAAAAAATGGAAATAATGAGGGCGATGACACCATCATCTGGGACAGACAGCTTAGGGTGACGGATTATAGATGGATGACATTTTTAGGCAACAAAAACCCTAAAAACATGGATTCATTAATTTCCTCAAAAAAAAAAAAAATTAAGGTTAAACCCTAAGCTTTAACCATAGATCTGTGCAGCTCAGATGGAAATGATTAATTTTTTTGGTGTTTGAAGGAAGAATTTGAAGTTGTGAAACCTGTTATTGGCATATTCATAGAGACGGCCACGAGTGGAGAAGACGATGAGGGCAACTTCAGCATCACAAAGAACAGACAACTCGTAGGCTTTTTTAAGCAAACCATTTCTTCTCTTGCAAAAGGTGACTTGACGATTTGTGGTATTTTCAATTCGTTTAATTTCAATCTTACCTCTTCCCATTTTTTTGTGGGAAGAGGCAGATCCTTCTCCAGCTTGGCTTGGGAACTCCGTGGCTGAAATCTGAACCAAAGAACACACAAAAATAAGACATGGGTTTTGGTTTTGGTCACTAGATCTGCCACAAAATCACCTAAAGATTCAAACTTTGAAGATGGGGTTTCAAGATTTTGAAGAAAACAAACCTGGGTGAGCTCAACTTTGAGGGAAGAACACCAAGAGAAAAGGGGGATCAGATTTTGGTGAAGGGTATGGTGGAAAAAGGTGTAGGGTTTGGTTTATTGGAAAAGTATTTAAAGGAGAAAAGTAGATTGAAATTGTTCATATTGCCATTTTGTTGGTGTGAAATTAAAGAGGGTTAATCAAGCCCTTAATCCAACTTAGCTTTTATTAAGAAGGAAGATCAAATTAGAGAAATTAGGGGAAACAAAATTATAGGGAGAGAGAGAGAGAGAGAGAGTGTGTGTGTGTGTGTTAGGGTTCCCATTTCTTCATGTTATGGGTAAAAGTTAAGAAGGGGTACCCCATAAAAGGTTCTCTCAAAAGTGACCCACAAATTGGTTGGAATTAGACCTTCTGTTTACTCATACAAACTTACAATCCCTATATCTCTCATGTATGTATATGAGAAAACAGCCTTATTGGGTAGGGTGGGATCCTACCTCGGTTGGAGAAGAAAATGAATTATATTTTATAAGGGTATGAAGACCTTCCGTGCCATACGTGTTTTACAGACTTGGAGAGGAAGCCCGAGAGGGAAATTCTAAAGAAAACAATATCTGTTAACGGTGGACTTGGATCGTTACAGGTATGGTCTCATTGGAAGATTCCTTCACTATTTTGAAGATAAAGCTCAATATTTCAAGTTAATTATATCACATTAGATTAGAGAGAGAAACGAGTGCTAATGAGGACGGTAGGTCCCAAGGGGAGTGGATTGTAAGATCCCACATGGGTTGGGGAGAATAACGAAGCATTATTTATAAGGGTTTAGAAACCTCTCTCTCTAGCCGATACGTTTTAAAAACTTTGAAGGAAAGTTCGAAAAGGAAAGCTCAAAGAGGACAATATGTGTCGGATATGGATATGGGTTATTGAGGTTAGACATTGTATTCTAGATTTAAAACTATTTTGAAATAGATTTTAGGATATGAAATTAATATCCAATAAAGAGAACTCTCACTCTATCCATTTATATATAGAGAGCTTTTGAAGGTGTGCAAAGAGAGAGGCTATAATTGATAATAAAGGTGAAGTATGAAGGGAAAGTTGCTTCAAAATATGTCTTTGTATAGATGTCCAAAAACAAGTACACTTATTTTCACTATATATATATATATATATATATATATATATAGATATATGTTTATATTACTATGTTTAAGTATTTTATTATAATTAGTATGCGTTTTAAAATCGTCACAACGGCGGACTTGTACTATTACAAATGGTGTTAAAGTTAGACACCGGGCATTGTATCAGCGAGGACACTGGCCCTGGATTGTGAGATCCTACAAAGCATTCCTATAAGGGTATGGAAATCTTTCCCTAACATATGATACGTAACGAGCAAAAACAGACAATATCTATTAACTCTGTGTCAGTGTGCTAGTGAGAATGTTAGGCTCTTTGGATTGTGAGATCTCGGTTGAATAAGGGAACGAAACATAGAGCCAGACACCAAGCGACGTGCAGCGAGGATGCTGGACTCTTGGATTGTGAGATCTTGGTTGGAGAGGTGAACGAAACATTTCTTAGATAGATGGCTAAACTGCCTTCTACAAACTTGTAGCGTTTTCTATCCAGAAAAATAATCATAATTGATATTTTTAAAGTATGGTAAATAATAATATAGTACTAATAAAGATGGATGACTTATTTAAAAAGGCACCAAATAAAAATTCCAAATTTATTAATATATAAGATTTTATTTCCAACATTGATATTTTTATCAACATCATACAATTAAATCATTCAACATTATGCAGATACCAACATTCAATTCTCCGAAAGGACACACATAGGTTTCAACATAAATAAAAAATTTGTCGTAAGAGATGGCGATAGAAATATAGGTTTGTCGAACAAGATGACGACGACGACGATAGGAACTCAAGATCATCGCTACTTTAATTTTCAACACCCAAAAGAATATCTTCCAAAGTAAAATAAGAATCCTATGTAATTTCCTGTTCATCTTCTTTATTTCTTTCTTGACTTCATTATTCACATATAGATATATACATATATACATATATACATATATGTATATGCAGCTTTCAGATACTGAGCTGCAAAATTGCCATTCAAAGGGTCCTTATTTTGTAGGGTCAAGTATCCATGAAAGGCCATTATCCATCCTTGATTTGGTATCCTATTTTATGACCCATGTTTTGATTCTTCATTTTTTTGGTCACCCTTTTGAATTCTTCCCTCTCACATACCCAACTTCAATTTTTACCATTTTCTTGTAAACCCAAATGAAATTAGGCCATTAGGGAAAACTACCTATGCAATTATTCCCGCTATTCCTCTTACATCAAATCGAGTTTCATCCTCGTTTTATCGTTTCTTAAAGGAGACTTCTGTGTTTGTGCTAATCAGTTATTAATGACTCAGTTGAGTCAAATATTCATTGAACTTAGTTGGCTTGTGCATCAGTGGAGTGAAAGTTGAAGTTACTAAACCTAGTCAGACTTTTCAAAAGGTTTATTTGATTAAATACGATAGAAAATTTTGATTTTTGACTTGTGGGTGTCGTTTATTTTTTCGTGAAATAAGATTATAAGCATATATAGACCTAACGAGTATATTAACCGCTCTAATTTAGGTAATTTAGAAGTGCAAATAAAATGAATGAAATACATTGGGAGGGGACAAAGACTGACAGTACTAGGAAAGGAGAAGTATAATATAAAAGGTAAAAAAGAAGAGGGATTTGTACAAAGGGGGAGGAAAAGCATCCCCCTTTGTCAATTTTATTACATGCAGCTTGTTAATTAAAGCACTATGAAACAGGTGCATGCATGCTTCTCTTTCCCTTTATTTTCTCATCAATTTCATCAAAATCAAACAGCTTTCATTTAGGGAACCAACTTCAACATTCAAATCTCAATTAGGAGGATATTATTAGGAGTGAAATTAGTTTGTTGATTCAAATGTTTGATCTATGGGTTAAAGATATCGAATAACAGCTTAACCCTATCACTAATAGATATTGTCAGTTTTAGCCTGTTACATATCGTCTTCAGGCTCACATTTTAAAGCTCGTATGTTTGAGTTGGCTATTTTCCACACTGTGCCACATTTGAAATTGTAGAGGGGGTTGATGGACTTTCAAAGTTTCTAGTGACAAGGTCACGTCGAACTTCAACCCTTTCGAGTTGGTCATGATGCAACAACCTCAAACTCCCCATACCATTGCTTTTGCTCTTTTATGACGAGATAGTACATGACTATCAAATCTATTTCATATGCATGAGCACTTGTAGTGAGGAGCAAACTTGGAAGGGTGCAATTGTAGAGTCGACTAAACGTCGATCACATCTACTTCAATTTCATCGGTCACTCACGTCAGAAATCTTTAAAAAAAATTAGTATATAAAGAGTTCAGAATCAAAATAAATATGAAAAATAAAAAATACAACAACTATTTAAAAGGGAAAGAGGATGAAAAAAAAATAAAAGAAAAAAAATAAAGAAAAAGGAAAAGATAGGGGAGAAAAGGTGAGCATAAAGTAAATACAAATGTAATTAAAGATGAAAATGACGGTGAAAGATGCCAGACTCCTTCAATGTTTACTACCTAATATCATGAATTCCACATAATATAATGTCACAATCATACCAGGTAACCTACCTATATTTAACACTAATTTTTTAATTACAAAATTTATATCTATTTAATCGTCTTCAAAATTGAAACTTAGGGCTCCAATAAATAATTCATTTTTATAAATTTCAAATTAAAATTTCATAAACATAAAAGTTTAAAGACATCAGATTTCAAAAGACACCAAATATACAAATTTCAAAAGACAAGGAAGGCGTACATATGAGTATATGTCAGGTCAACACACTCAGTAGTTTTTTTTTTTTTTTTTTTTTTTTTTTTTTTTTTTTTTTTTTTTTTTTTTTT